GTTAAGGGTCCAACTCTTGATCTCAGCTCAGGTCTTGATCTCAAGGTCATGAGTTCAAGCCCTGTGTTGGGCTCCACGCTTGGTATGGAGGCTACCTTAAAAAAAAGAAAGAAAGGAAGGTGGCAATGGGTGGTTCAGTTGGTTGGGTGTCTGACTCTTGATTTCAGCTCAGGTCATGATCTCAGGGTTGTGAGGTCAAACCCCACATCAGGCTCCATGCTCCCTCTGCATTGCACCCTTCTCCCTGCGCCCCTGTGACTGCTGGAGCTGTCTCTCAATCTCTCAAATAAATAAATAAATAAATAAAACTTTTCTGATTAAATTAGTGGTGATATTAATAACTGATTGTTTTGCTATTATATGGATGAAATGGGCCAATTTGGAAGCTCTGCCTAACTCATTGAATCACTAGTTTTCATGTGACCAAGTGCATCGTCACCTGATAAAAGATCATTGAAAGTGCAAGATAAAGCAATAGATTTTAATGTAATAAAGTACAAAAAGTTCATCCAGTTAGTTTCAAATTTCACATTGCAACTAATCTTTAATAAATCTACCACTTGTTGAGTTTTGATGTAATATTACAGAAGAATGTTTACAGTTATCTGAAAAGTTATTAAAATACTCCTGTCTTTTCCAGCTACATATCTGTTTTGATCTTGGATCAAAACAACACATTGAATGTGGACATAGGTATAAAACTACAGCCATTTTCCATTAATCAAGATATTAAGAGATTTGCAAAAATGTAAAATAATCCTACTCTTCTCAGAAAACATTTTTTCCAGGAAACAATTATTTTTCATAAAAAAATCATATTTCTATTAATGTATAGGAGATTTATTGGTCTAAAAGGAACTAGTTACTACTAGAATTTGTATTTTAATTTCTAATATGGTAAATATCAGTTTGGGGATTTTCAATTTTCACGAGTGTACAGGGGCTCTGAGATCAAACAATTTAAAAACCTGGTTCCGAACTAATCTTTTTACTTAGAATTCCCTTTTCTGCGTAGAGAAAGCCTACACATAATTATTAGTTGGTATTTTAAGTATTCATCAAAAAACATTTAATGAGCATCTACCAAGAACCTGGCTTTTGCTTGGGGCTGAGGACATGGTCCCAAGCCCTTCTGGAAATCACAGTCTCATGGGGAAGACAAACAGAGAACTGCAACACAGTATGATAAATGTTCTTAGTGATAGACCATAAGTGTTGTGGGAATATAGACTATTGTTATAATCACTTGCCAGCTCATCTAGAACATATGCTGATCTATCTGATTGGACTGTATGTCTGTATTTGATTCTTCATCGTCTGAGAGGGAGAGTGGCTGGTTAGCAGAGGATGGGAGCTGCTCACTTGTTTCTCTGGGAGGAAAGAAGGAGACTACAGATGTATGGATTGTCAGCTTTCTGCATGCCCTATGCAAGGTGTTTGAACAAATGTGGTCTGCTTACAGGGTTTGTCCTCATTTTACAGATGAGGCATTGGAAGCTCAGAGAACTTAAACATCATATAGTTGTAACTGATGGAGCTGAGGTTTTGACATACATGTTCTGACTACAAATTCAGGGCTCTTACTAATAATGCATTGCTAAATCGTTGGATCTTCCAAGGCTATTTCCACATGGCTGTGGGAAACCTTGCCAGATTGGAATGTGTAAGAGATGATAGAAAGGTCTCAGGAAGGAAAGAGAGACAGCCTAGGAAATGCTTGATAGCAGGAGTCATTTGTGAATTTTGGCTAACGTGGTTTTTCTGGACAGGATTCTCTGGCTTTATTGGACATCAAGATTTTGTACCCCTTTATCCTCAATCCCTTTAATCCTTCTCTATGTCTGATGATGCCAGCAGCAAAGGTCACCTGTGTGTCTGATCAGGTTACAAACCAGAGCCTAGTGTTGGAAGCCCAAACTTCTTGGACCTACCATAGGCCTTCGGGAAAGGGGCTGGGTGACTTAGGCCAATGGTGCCCGGCCTGGAGATTCCCTCTGCCCCCTATCCCTAGAGTTCAGTAAACTAGTTTAGCATTTAAAAAAATGCGATTAGAAGTTATGCTTTGGGGCACCTGGCTGGCTCAGTTGGAAGAGCATGAGACTCCTGATCTGGGGGCTGTGAATTGGAGCCCCACATTGGGTATAGAGATTACTTAAATAAATAAAACCTAAAAAGAAGTTGTGCTTTACTTATGAGAAACCTGTGTGTGGAAACAGGCTAGTGGAAAGACTGGATTTCTTTGCTTTGGTTCAAAAATCTGTCAACTTAATATGGTTCAGGTGTGCTACCTATGGTTTTCTAGAACAGGGGTTAGCAAACTATGGCCCAGTGGTCAAATTCAGCCCACCACCTGTTTTTGTGAATAAAGTTTTATTGGAACACAACTAGCTCGTGCACTTATGTTTTGTCTATGGCACCCTTTGTGCTCTATAATAGAGTTAGGTAGTTGTAACAGAGGCTATCTGGTTCATAGATCCTAAATTGTTTACCATTTGGCCTTTTACAGAAAAAGTTTGCTGACCTCTAGGGTAATCCTGATTCTTTTTATCATGGTGCTTAGCACATTGTGTAATTACCACCCCTCTCCTCTAGTTTTATAACTAAGCTCCTTGAGAGCAGGGATGAGATCTGGCTCATCTCTTTGTGCCCCGTGCTGATTATAGAGCCTGGCACATAAAGAACACCCAGTAAATAATTTTTAAATGGGTACATCATGTGCTGATCAAAAATCTGATAGGCAATTAAAATTTTTTTCCCTTGTTCTGATAGGCAATTATGTGTGCCTTTGATTAACACAAAAATAGGAATAAGGGAAGGAAAGCATTATGTTGGTAATACTAATCCCAGTGCTGTGTGCTTCCGTCTATGAACCAGTCATTCCTTACTGCAATTCTTTTTTAGATAGGTAGTTCATGGATAGGAGTCCATGAACGAAACAGTCATGCCAAGAACTCTTGTTGGTGAGGAAGTTGAGAAACAATGCCTTAATCCTTGGCTGCATTCTCCTCTTTCCCTCAGTACCCACCCCACCCTCCACTCCAACTTGTAGGACAAATGTAGAAGAATATAAGGTTATATGGAGATATTTCTTTGGTATATATACTGTTTTTCTTACTTTTTGTCTTCTATAAAGCCATTTCCTCAGTGGGCTTCTTACCATCTGTGACTTCCAGAAGATGAAACCACCTTAAAGCTCTTTGGTTTCCTTGGCATAAAAGCAGTCAGGTGAAGTGTGGGCCTGGGAGTCAGTAGGCCTGGGCTCTAGCTGTGGCTATTCAGCTGTCTTTGACTTCGGGCACAACAGTTACCATCTGTGAGCTCCAGTATCCAACCTGTTTTTACTGAGTCACATATGGGACATTTTCCACATTTAACATTTATAGCGCTCCCTCATTTTGAAAAGGATTTGAGCAACTAGCCAGTGAGAGAGAGGTGACTTGTCCTGTCCTGTCGCTGCCTCTGACAGCAGATGGGAAAATGATTAAATAGAGTGGAATGTTTCAGGTCTTTGATTAGTGCTTTCTAGAAGGCTTCACAGCAGCAGCCTCTTTTCCTGGTCCTTGCTTTCTCTTCTGTGATAGCTTCTTCCTTGGGAGTGATCTGAGGATTCTTGCTAGAGAGAAGTTACCAAGATCAGGGTCACAGGGAAAGAGGAATTTTAGAATCTAAGCATTGAAAGACATTCTAGAAACTTTACTTACAATGTCTTTTTCAGATACCCGAGCTTGAGGCCTGGAGAAGGGAAGTGACCTCCCTAGGGTCACACAGAAGAGCTAAGACGAGATGCCAGGCTCTTTCTACTGTGTGTATAGTGTTTCCCAGGGTTCTTTTTTTTTTTCTTTTTTTAAAGATTTTATTTCTTGACAGACAGAGATCACAAGTAGGCAGAGAGGCAGGCAGAGAGAGTGGGAGAAGCAGACTCCCCTCCAAGCAGGGAGCCCGATGAGGGGCTTGATCCCGGGACCCTGGGATCATGACCTAAGCGGAAGGCAGAGGCTTAACCCACTGAGCCACTCAGGGGCCCTCCCAGGGTTCTAAGAGAGGGAGGGTTAGGTGGCCTCGGCTCTTGTGCTGGCTTTAGTGCCACATGACTGTGTATTGGTGGTGGAGGAAGCTGCCCTGTGGGCCTGTGGGCTTCCCATGTTGTTGTAGCTGATGTGCTCAGGACCATGGGTGCCTGATAGCTCTCGCTGACTATAACCCCCTCTGGGCAGGCTCAGCATGTGAGGGCTCTCTGCAGCGAGCCCGGGGCTGGCACTTTGCTACTCCCAGCAGTGATAAGGTGAACGAGAAGGAAAACATATTTTTTTGCTACTGTAGTAAATGGGCTGTGTTCCTGTTTCTAGAAAGACTGTATTATTGCACATTTATTTATTGACTGACTCAAAGTGATATTTCATCTGAATATGTATTTCTTCCCTTACTAGTAAGGCGAAACTTTTTTCCCCTATGTCCATTGGTTGTTTGTATTTTCTCTCATTTATATATATATTTTCTTGTGAGTTACCTATTCATGTTCTTTGTTCTAGATCCCAGTGTATTCCTTTTTTTTAATTCAACATTTTTTAAGAAGATTTTATTTATTTGATAGACAGAGATCACAAGTAGGCAGAAAGGCAGGCAGAGAGAGAGGAGGAAGCAGGCTCCCCGCCGAGCAGAGAGCCCGATGCGGGGCTCCATCCCAGGACCCTGAGATCATGACCTGAGCCGAAGACAGAGGCCCAACCCACTGAGCCACCCAGGCACCCAATCCCAGTGTAGCCCTAATCTTATTCTTGACTTGCCTGCCAGGGATTGATTAGGATAATAAGGCATTGTCCCTAAATTGGGAAGCTCAGCACATCGTTGGGGAGAGAGCTGAAGACTGCATGAAACCCATTTCTCACTGTACAAATAACCAGTGAAGTGGCTGCCTGAGGATTTAGCTGCTGGAAACTATGGACCCTGGGACAGGTGGGTCGCGGCCCACAGTAATGTTGTCTCTTGCTTTTCCTGTACAGAGTTTTGCCGGATTGACAAGCCCCTGTGCCACAGTGAGGATGATAAGCTCAGCTTTGATGCAGTCCGCAGCATCCACAAGCTGATGGACGATGATGCCAATGGTGATGTGGACGTGGAAGAAAGCGATGAGGTGAGCTCTCTCACCGTGCCGTGGCTCTCTTCAATTCCTGTGTGGACAGTTCCTGAAAGCTGTCCAGACACTCTTCCCCATGGAGAGATGTTCTTGATGTTGGCTTGTTCTCTAAGAGCTCCTCCTTGTCAAAGGAGGTGATTCTGTAGGACCCAGCCTGTCCGCGTGCAGGCCTGATGTCTGTGTCTCTGCCTGGACTGGCTCCCATCCGCCTACCAGCCAGAAGCACAACACTGACTGCGCTGTGCTGTTTGAGAGGGAGAGGGAGCCCCGAGGTTGGTCTCTACAGTTCCCCTGCCTCCCTACTGTAATCCTGCTGCAGGCGGACGGCATCCGTCTGTCCTTGCTGTGTGCTTAGTCCTGTGTTGGCAAGCAGGAGAGAAGTCAAGGCGGTCATTATCTTGCCCTCTGGGAGTTTGTGCTCAGTTTGGGAGGAAGAAACGCATGTTCCTAGAAACATCATTCTGAATTCCAGGCCACAGTTGCCGGGAGCCTGTTGAGTGGTCCAGATAGTAGGCGTGAGAGGAATCTCTAGATGGAGAAAGCTCTGTTATTGTCTCACCTTTTGGCATCACTACAGTTCCAATTCCACAGAGCCCAGAGTATGAAGTCATCGTGTGTGAAAAGATGTAAAGGTTTCAGTTGATTTCCAGCTTAACACGAGCCAGCAGTTTGGTGAAACGGCCAAGTTGTGCCAAATCTTTAATAGTGATATGGTGTGTGTCACAAGGGAGAGGTAAGCCCAGTCTCTTCACCCTGCTCGTCAGCCCACCTTTTAAGTTTTGAGCTCAATTTTGGATCTCACGTTGTTAGAAGCATCTGGAGCAGTGAGAGCCTGTAAAGGAGCGACGTGAACAATGAAGGGCAAGGAAATTATGAGATGGAGACATCCAATATAATTCAGTATTTATAGGTATCACGTATGTGCCAGGCACGGTTGTAGACATGGGGCTGTGGCAGTGAAGAGGACACACGCATCTGTCCTCATATCATTTACAGTCTAGTGGAGAAACATGAGCCTGGAAAAGAAAAGATTCAGGTAATAAAATTTCTATCTTCAAATACACTAGGAGTGGAAGAATCAGATTTAAATTACGATGGTGCAGGCGATGAAAACCACAACACTAGCTAGTGTTTATTGAATTCTTATTCCGTGCCAGGCACAGTGTTAAGCTCTTTGCATAATTAACTCTTTTACCTTTCTTAATAGCCTTTTGAAGTTGGTGTTATTGTCAAGGACTGGGGCCTTGTGAAGGCTTGTTCCAAGGACACACTGGGTACGAGTACAGATCTGATTTCAAAGCTCATGCTGTGAAGTACTGGTGTACTATTTCTCTTATTCTAAAGACAGAACCAGGACCAGTGTGAGAAAAGTAAAATATGGGCATATTCTTTTAGAATAAAGAATTGTGTACCAGCGCCATCTTGTAGAAAAAGCTTTCTTGGTAGGTATGCAGTGAACTCCCAGTCACTGAAGGTGGGCCTGTAGAAAATAGCACTCTACTGACTGGTTAGCCGAGGGGATCCTTGTATTAGGTTGAATTAGATAAGGTCCAAGGAATTTATAAGAGGACAAAAATAGACCTCCTGGAGCAAAAGTAGATATTCGGGTGGCGTGGAAGGAATGGGGCAGCCTGAGTAGGGAGCCGGTGTGAGCACAGATGTGGAGGTAGTAAGAGCATGGTGGGTGGGTTTGGTCAGACAGAGCAACCGTGGGGGAAGGCAGCAGGACAAAAACCTGGAAAGGAAAGTCGGGGCCCAGGCAGCCCGGCTGAGAGGTCTCCTTGTTGAACCTGCCAACTGTAGGTCCTTGAGCAAGGACACCTGATAAAAGTAGCAGAACTTTTAGTTGCATCTAGAAGTGGCTCTGGCCCTCAAAGGACCCAAATTTTATTTGCTTGTGCTGAGAATAAAACCATGTTCCTAGAAGCAGATAAGGCCTAGAGGCTTCCTGATCTCTCTCTGGGGGCCTAGCCACAGGACTAGAGGATGGATGGCACATCAGTTAAGAAGGTGATATGATCGGGGTACCTGGGTGGCTCAGTGGGTTAAGCCGCTGCCTTCGGCTCAGGTCATGATCTCAGGGTCCTGGGATCGAGTCCCGCATCGGGCTCTCTGCTCAGCAGGGAGCCTGCTTCCCTCTCTCTCTCTCTCTCTCTCTCTGCCTGCCTCTCTGCCTACTTGTGATCTGTCCCTGTCAAATAAATAAATAAAATCTTAAAAAAAAAAAAAAAACTTAAAAAAAAAAAAGAAGGTGATATGATCATGGGGCGCCTGGGTAGCTCAGTGGGTTAAAGCCTCTGCCTTCGGCTCAGGTCATGATCTCAGGGTCCTGGGATCGAGCCCCGCATCTGGCTCTCTGCTCAGCAGGGAGCCTGCTTCCTCCCCTCTCTCTCTCTGCCTGCCTCTCTGCCTACTTGTGATCTGTCTGTCAAATAAATAAATAAAATCTTAAAAAAAAAAAAAAAAGGTGATATGATCCAAGATCCACAAATTCCTGGATATCTTTGTTATCTGCTCCTCCTTTTTTTCACTTTCTGCTGATTGCTTTGTCAATGAGGGGAGGAAGAAAATGTTCTTTTTAGTAGAATGTTACCACAACAAAAAGCTCATCAGCACAAACTGTTCTAAAATAACACAAAAGCTGTCACCCTGCTCTTCTCTGTGCCAGTGGTGAGCTGTTCTTTTTCAGTATAACTTCTGCCTTTGCCTTGGCTTCAGCTGCTCTCTCTGCAATATTCGGCCTCTGGTGGTAAGGGGGGCCTCCCAGTCTGGGTTTTCATGACTCGTCACAAGCAACTGTCTTTGAAGGAGAAATAATGGTCGCAAAGTATGTGTGCTTAAGTCGGTGTAAACATATGAGACAACCTTGGAGGTCAGGTTCTAACTAGAGCGTTGGGTGGACAGCTCAGAGCTTAGAATATTGGCTGATGGGCCCTGAGGCGTGAGTGATGAAACCCTACTTGTGCTGACCATGAAGGCCATGAGCTTCTCATGACCATTTAAAAAGCTCTGCTGATTACCCAGAGATCTTAGCGCAAGTCTGAAGGGATGCCCTATAAGGCCTCATTTATTCAGCCTCATATCAGTAAGTTTTTCAGATGACTGAACTATAACCTCAGTTCTAGCTCTCTTAATATTTTAGCCAGTTTTGAAATACGTCTCTCTTTTCAAAGATTATTGTGAACAGAGTGGTGCCTTTATTTGAGTCATTCAAAACATGTCTTCAGGGCCTCTTACACGATTACCCCAGTTCCTGGATTCCCATATCCATTGTTGTGATTTCTTCCTATAATTTCTGTCTTGTCTTTGATTCATCCCCATTTCTTTTTTTATTTTTTTTTAAAGATTTTATTTATTTATTTGACAGACAGAGATCACAAGTAGGCAGAGAGGCAGGCAGAGAGAGAGGAAGGGAAGCAGGTTCCCCGCTGAGCAGAGAGCCCGATGGGGGCTCGATTCCAGGACCCTGGGATCATGACCTGAGCCAAAGGCAGAGGCTTTAACCCACTGAGCCACCCAGGCGCCCCTCATCCCCATTTCTAATTGCTGTTTTTACTCTGCTGTGAGCTATGAAATTTGACTTATGGCAAGCTGAGACTCAGCAGGCATTTTGTAGAAAATATATAATCAGTTGTGTGGGGGGCAGCCAGTTTGGCTGCTCAAGGACTCTCTTTCCTTGCTTCTGAGTTGGCAAGGGCTATGGATTGTGGGCCCTTCAGATGAGCAAGATGGCAGTATTGACGATGGTGCCCCTCATTCAAGGCTGGGAGAAAGTTCGACCAGCCCACCAGTGTGAAAATTCATGGCCTATGTTCTACTGAGACCTCGGGTGGGAACACTGCCCATTGGGAAAGGATTTGCTGCAGGGGGATGGTCCTATCAAGTTGTCTGGCAGTCTGAGGTATACAGAGAGAAGCAGTCAACAGCCACCATCCCTTTGATCTGTCCTGACATTTTGAGATCAGTGTTATTGTCCTCCTGGAGCCTACATGGGAAATCAAGGGCATTTATCCAGCTGTTAAACGGATTTTTATTGAATACCTCTTGTGTGCCAGGCACCATTATAGGAATATGGATTCTATAGCAAACAAAACAGATAAGATTTCAGCTTTCATAGAGCTTGCCTTCTAGTGGTCTGTATGTCACAGGTGATTAAATAATGAGTAAAATTCTGAAATTAGGAAGAACTGCGATTGTAGTAGTTTAGTGACTTCTCCTTTAGTTTTCTTAGGTAAAATGGTGGTTAATGATTCCTACCCTTGCAGGGTTACTGTCAGAATTCAGTGAGAAAAGGTAAAAGTTTCTGGCACAGTGGTGTGTGGGTGGCTCAGTGCGATAGGTGTCTGACTCCTGATTTTGGTCTGGGTCATGATCTCAGGCTCTAGGGATCGAGTCCCGTGATGGGTAGGGATGGGAGCTAGGTCAGTGTTTAGGTCTGTGCTCGGCCGAGAGTCTGCTTGAGATTCTCTTCCTCTTACTCTGTCCCTCTCCCAGCTTGCATGCTCTCTCTCTCTCTAAAATAAAAATAAATAAATCATAAAAAAAGGTTTCTGGCACAAATAACTCCCAAACTGAACAACAGAAAACAAGCAACTCTAGAATGGGAAAAGATTTAAAAAGACACTTCATCAAAGTAGTTACATGGATGACAAAGAAATGTGTGAAAAGAGTTCATATCACTCAATATCACCAGCCATTAGGGAAGTACAGTTTAAAACCACAGTGAGATACCACTACACATCTGGCAGAATGGCTAAAATTAAAAAATGGACACCACCAAGTGTCAGGCGAGGAGGAAGAGCCACCGGAACTTTTGCTTATAGAACTTCTGAGAAAGTTAAACATGATTTATTACCTGTCCCAGAAATTCTGCTTCTAGGTATTTACCCCTATAGATAAATGAAAATTTGTATTCATACTAAAACTTGTATACAGTGTTGATAGTAGCTTTATTTGGAGTGGCCAAAAGCCGGACACAAATCGATGTCCTTCCATGT